TAAATTCGTATGTTTAAATTCAATAATAAAATCTATTTTGTGTTATGCGGGTCAAGTGTGGGGATATTTAGATTGTGATCCAGTGGAATCAGTTCAGAGATTGTTTATTAAAAAAACTATTTCGGTTGCCAAATAATACGCCTAATTATTTTCTGTATTTGGAGTCAGGATTAGACAAATTACAATTCCATACTATTTTGATGAATCTAAAATATTTATTAACTGTGTTGTATTTAGATGCAGATCGTTTGCCAAATATTTTAGCAGAGGTAGTGATAAGGAGATGCGTGTATTGGTACTGTGACTGGAAATTATTGGGAGACAAATTTGGTTTGCCGGTAGACTTTGCGCAAGGTCAGGTCGAGGTCCAGCTGATGAAAGTTGTGAGCGTGTTTGGAGATAACTGGAGGGCGGAATGTATTGGCAGAGCACGTACATCGGCGTTTCACTCCCGATTTATAGATTTGGACTTCAATCTTGGCGATAAAACTTTTCCCTCTGATAATAGGGATATCGTCACAATCTCATGGATTATGAAATGTAGAGGGGAGTTGTTAGATTTAAATTATAAACCCTGGGTGGTCGATAAAAATTATTGTTCTTTGTGTAACCTCCATAAAAATGAAACTGTTTTTCACTTTGTGGCAAGGTGTCCCATGTTTAAAGATCTTAAAAAATGTCATTTACAAAAATTAACTATTGATTATCATGAGTTTTTATCTTATGTAAATGGGAGGGATTGGCGAGGTTTATAGCCTGGGTCCATCGGGAGCTAATAAAAGAATTCAATAAAAAAAATCATAGCTTGATGGGAATATTTTGTTCTAAAGGTACTCAAATCAAGTGTAAATAATGTGTATTAGTATGCGTCGAGGTATGCGTAGGCAATACATTAGATTCCTTGGTGTAGTTATAAATAGGAACGAATGTAAATTAGAATTTTATTTTAGCTTTTAAGTGAGTCTAAGCTTTTATGTTTTTGTTCTCTTTTATATGAGTGCAGTGTTGATTGTAATGTTAAAGTGGAAGTGGACTTTGCCAACCAGACAGACAGTCAAATGACTATTGTCTTTTGTGCATTAAAAAAAATTGTAAATTTGTAAACTTTTCAGCAAAATAAAGCACTGTTACTTATTTATCTACCTATCTAAATCCTGGTATCTATTTTAAGTTACAAAAATACTTTAAGAAGTCATGAATTCTCAAAGATTCAAAGAACGAATGCTGCATTTGCATTTGTGTGTTCCAACTAAATAAATGAATCCACTTTCAATTGAAAGGTGTGACATTTTATTTTATTGGAAGAAAATGCAAAAAAATATTAATAAGAAAAATACAAAAATATATTTATTTGGCTACATATTATTTGGAGAGGAATTGAAGCTAGCTTGAATATAGAAAATATGTTGGAAACAGGAAATAAAGACAAAGAGACCTTGGATTTCAGGTGCATTCCTTATCTCTTTCATGTCCGATCAACTACAATACCTCCCCACTTTCCCCTTTCCCCTTCCCCCAAACCCCTTCTGTACTCTTCCATTCTGTGTCTAGTTCTCTGAGTAGTAGGATTTATTTGTTGGTTCATAGTTTACAATACTAAATCCGTTGTGGGGACTTATGACCAATATAATTATTGAAGATTTGTTATATAGTCAATATTAGTTCACAGATTTTGGTTTAAAGTACAGTGCAGTTTAAAAAATCTGAGTTTTTTACAATAATTTTAATGTACAGTGCATAATTATCTTAACTTACTGAATAAAAAAATATTGCAGAAGCTTTAGGGTAAGTTTATTCCATGTATTATTTAATTAGATTTAATGTATTAGTTTCAAGTCATTTAAATAATATTTAACTAATACGTAAACTTGATTTCAAACTGCCAAATTGAATTGCACAGACCTGTCGGATTTGGACAAACTAAAACCTGTTGGTAAAGTTACAAGTTTGAAGTTACAAAATTTTCATGATTTGTTGGTGTAACTGGTGAAATGATATTTAATTGATTGTTTTGTGAAAAAAGGTATACATACTGAATGTTGATTTTGCAATGAATAATTATTTTAAAATGCTCTTCTTTTGCCAAAGACAAATATGTATCAATTAATTCTAGTGTTTGATTGTTTCAACATGTGTTTAATTATTTTCTACAAATCAAATCAAATCAAAGCTTTATTTCCCAATAGACAATACAATTGTGTGTGGAATGGTCAATGAAAGGTATTACTTATATTTAAAATTAGGCTGTTTGCAATAGCCTACCTACTTAAAGTTGAAAAAAAACTTTATATAACTTACTTCTTTGTTAAAAAAAGCTATTCTGCAATGTCATTCATAATTTTTTAATGTAAAAAAAATTAATTCTTGATTCATGTTTAATGTAAATAACGTTTCATATAAATAAAATTATGAAATGTCTAATATTGTTCACAAAAAGCTTTCGAGTTGTATTGTTTACTTATCAAAAAATTTTTGATTCGAATGCTTAACTACAACGAGATTATCAATAATAAGACACTTGTTATTTATATTATGGGTTATTTTATGGGTTTCTTATGTATAGCCTACAAAGGATCTCATGTCTTGCTATTGATGTAAACGAATGGTATTACCGTAACTTACCAGTGGCATGACAATTATTGTTGCAATGTCTCTTATAGAGGCAACCAGCCAGCGACTTACCGGCACAAAAATACATTATACATTATTGTACAAATAATGCTAACTACTACTGTAGCCGTAACCTCAATTCCATGTTAGTAAACCAAGTTAAATAACTCAAATAAAAAATTGGTTCCAGACGCTTGATTTTTTTATTAAATTTTTTTAAAAAAAAGAACACTTACATCCTTGAATTAGTTTTATGTAACTGTAAAACTCGAATTTTTCAATCAACAAAACTTAATTAGGCTAAATTACTTTTCACGCCTATTTGGTAGAAAACCAGTTAGATATAAGTTTATTTAGGCGTAATTTTATGATATCAAAGAAAAACCGTTTATGAAAATATATTCATGAATTCAAACTTATTGAAAGTAGTAACGGATATATAAACATTAACACAATTTAAAGAAGATTGTTTTCTCTATATGTTCAGTCTTAGTGTTGTAATATCTGACCGCTGCCACCATTTTGTTTGCATTGGGATTTTTATTCCCAAAACAGGACTTTTTAGACCATATGCGGGATTAAAACGGGATGTGGGAAAACGAGACTATCTGCTCTTACGATTACCTAGTTTCTTTTTTATACCGCTTTCCAGATAAAAACTGATACCAATTGCTTAAAATATTCTACCACAGCATTGTTGAAAGGTTTTAGGAGATATTTAGACATGTTGCATCATACTGATCACCCTGGACAGTACGTTAAAGTCTTGCGGGATTAAACGGGATTTTTCATTACAAAGCGGGATAGACGGGGATTTTCTCGAACCTGTAAGTGGAATTTTTGTTTTATGCGTGTGGAAACGGAAACACTGTGTTTGGTTGTAGTTACGTTTTGTGCAAGGCAAATGCAGATGAATGCTAAAAATCCTTCCAACTTCCAACAGTAACTGTGTAGTTTTGTGGTGGATTAAATGTCTACGTTTTAATCTGTGGTTAGATTCAATCTCAAATCCAATGGTCGACTCGTACAATATGTTTGTTGTGTTGCATTTGAAAATGAGTTATATAACATTAAAATGCTGAATTTATACTAGGCCTAGTTGTTTGTAACTTATAGAACTGTCTTACTATACTTATATTTTTTACCTCAACAGCAAATATAAAATGAACTCGCAAAAATTTACTCAACCGTCTTACTATACTTATATTTTTTGCCCCAACAGCAAATGTAAAATGAACTCACAAAAATTTACTTAGTCCGACGTCACTGATTTTTTAGATACGGCCCCCAAATGTCCCCGAAATGTCAGATTTTTCAAATAGCTTACTGGTAGACACCCTGTCAAACCAAGTTAGACAGACTTTACTTTTATTGCTGTGCGACCTTACATAAGCGACCCTGCATAGTGCCACAGAACATTGGATTTTGTAGAGTAAATAGGTGTCTACTGTACAGCCAGAGAATTTGTACTGTATATTATAAATTTTAATTAAGTTTTCTCTGTGGTAGTCGGATATAACTTTTGAATTTGTTCCAAGGGTATTCTTATTTATTTTGTAGGGTTTATAATATCTCAAATTGCATATTAGGTACACATTGTATCCAACCTAAAAATTTGTTTTCTTTTAACCCCCCCCCCCCCCCCCTCCTCCTACCTGAACAAACCGAGGAAAGAACATTTTAAGATTTAGGTCTGTAACAAAAGATTTGCACTGAAGTTTTGTGTAGGATTCTTTGTGGGTTCGCACCATGAAGCATATCAACTACAAACCTGGATGGTGGGCTATTTATTTCTTCTACTGCAGCATTCCCATCATCGTCTATGTATGGTACCTCAGAAAACGTGCTCGAGAGGTATTTTGTGAAAAAAAGTTAAAAACTTAAATTGTTGAATCCCAATAGTATCGATTAAACACCAGTAATTAAAATCCAGGCAGTAGTATATAAAGTAGTGAGTTATGTTTTCACATTAACGACTGGTATTCACATTGACGTAGTGCTTCAGAAATAAATTGGCAAAGATGGATTCAGGTTAAGTATTTCTCATATTACCGCAGACTTAACCCCTGTAAAAGTTTACATCCCAGTGTAAAGCAAAACCGAGTGATTCCCTTGTTATAAACCCTTTTTACCAACAGTGTTTAGAAAAATCCTTTCAGCTTCCCATTTTGTACATAACTTTTTACATTTGGTTTAAATAATTAAAGCAAATGTTTACGTATAGTGTCTTTGATTATTTTAAAGTTGTGGTTTTCCTTAATTCCTTCTGGATGAAAACTTATCTGTAACTCGTTGGACACTACACTTGTTCACAACGCTTTTTACAACGTTCACAACGTTGTGTAGCCCCTTCCCTGTAGTAGTAGCTTATTGGTAGTGTTTGTTCGTAGGAGTCTGTGGTAACAGCTTTCTTCCGCTACACTAACGAGCACCCCTGGCTGTGGGCCGTTTACGTTGTCGTCATTGGTCTGCCCATCGTACTGGTCGTCTTCTTGTGTTGTAGTGGATCGTCCTCACAGGTACCGTAGAGTAGTAGCTGTTGACCCTTAGTTAATGAATCCTTAACTTTCCAAAATAGTTCTTGTAAAGTATTCTAGGCAAAATAGTCTTTTGACATTTAATAATTGTCAACTAAAATAAATAATTGCATTTTTAATACATTTAGCTTTGGTAAACTTCACTTTATGAAGGAAATTAATAAAATATCTGAGCAAAATAATGGCTATAATGCCAAGTACTTTCTTGAGCTGTAGATTTCTCTAAGATTATGACATCTTGTGTAATTTATTTAATGCATAAATTAAATTGAAACTGATTCACTTCTGTATCAAATCCATTATAAAATCCAACTGTTTATATAGGTTAGTTAGGGAATGATTGACTTAATTTGATTTCTTCCTCTACATCCAATAAAAATGTTTTGATTGCAAAATTCTAGATCTGTAGAATTTTATGTTAGTTTAGGGTAGTACCGGTATTGTCCAAAAATATTGTACGTTACTCAACCAAAATGTGTTTACTGCGCACCCGTAATCCCCACTTTGTCTCATGCGGGAATGACCACACTCATCCAGTAAACACATATTTTCCAAACTAGTAACGTAATGTTCTAATTGCTATTTAAAGACTTACATGAATTAGTTATTTTTTTTACTTGAAGGTTTTCTTTGCCATAGGAAAAAGAAGAAATCGCCAGAAGAGCTGAGGCGAAAAAAACCGATGCGCTTCTTCCGGATGACGAAATGGAAGAAATGGTAGATGAGACAGAAGGCAAGGAGGAGGATACCGCAGAAACTACTCAAGAAAGTAAAAAGGGTGGAGGTTCTCAGAAAAGCAACGATTCTGAAGAGGTAATTACTCCTTAAACAAAAATATTTCTTGACCAATTACAGGGATTTTCTGTTAATTAAGTTCTCAAAGTGATCAAACTCCAATCATGGCGAGATAGTGTAAGTGTGAGAAACACCGTCTTTACTTCAGGCTGTGACTGGAGGTCGGTAGAGATCTTCAGTCAATCCTTGTACGGTAATCAAATAATGAATTTATATTATCAAGAATGTCTTTACTACAAATGTTAAAAAAATATGTGTAATAAATTAAAAGTTTAAATTATAAAGAATAAAGGTTTGACATTGATGGTTGAATAGGCTGATGTTTTGTCGAACAATAACTTGTTATTCTGACCGAATGAAAGCTTGTGTTTTAAGTACATCAGGGTACTTGATCAGAAGGGGGAGGGGGTTAATTTGTAAATAAAGGATAGTCTAAGGTGTTTGGGGATCACATTGCTAAGGTAAGATCATACGTTTAAATTAAAAAATGAGGTTTCAAACTATAATTGGTTGTAAAAATTTAAAAAAAATCTCAGGCTACACAGTTCTTAACACTACTATTATTTTTGATGTTAGTTTAGGAAATAAAGTTTGTCCTTGGTAAGTTTTCAGTGTTTCATTCCCGGGCTACGACCCTTAGGTAAATAAAGGGACCTTGAGGTGAACCCATGAAACATGAAGAAAAGGTATCTAGACCCAATTATTATACTCATTAGAGAATTCTTTTGAATTTGTATTAGATTTAACACGTTTGCTACTGAGCGTCCCATATATGCGCCACCTGTCACTTGGTGAACAGTACACACAGACCACGGGCGAAAACCTGTAAAACAGTGATCATTTACATTGTAATACGCTGTAATCATTGTTTGTAAATAATTTATTCTCGTATTTTTTGTGACCTTTTGTAATGTTGCATATTTGCGACGCCCCGTCTTACTGCAAAGACAATAAATTATCATAGTTTTCTTGGAATAGCCCAAATGTCGCATATATGTGACAGTTCATTTTTGTTTGTGTTTTGAGGTGAAAGTAAGTAAAAAAAACTGATTATTTAAGAACATTTTATAACTAAACAAATATAAAAGCTACATAGGATAATGCAGCATACATATATACAGTGATGCAAAAAAGTAAAGACCAGTTTTTCCAACTATCATATGACGTCATCAATCATATCCACAGACCAAGCGACGCAGTTGTGCGTCAGACATATCTATAGACCACTGCAGAGAATTCAGTGTCTTCAAATAGACTGTTACAAATATAAGAATTTTAATAAAATTAGAACCCCGACACAAATATGCGACGGCAGTCTATTTTAATGTAACTAGCCGTCGCATATGTTCGTCGCTGGTCCATGTGAATGAAAAATTTCGTACTATTGCAGTAGCGAAAGTGTTAACTAACTGTCATGCAAATAATACTTGCACCAGTATCCATTCAGTTGGTACTTACTTGACTTCTTCATTGCAGGAGGTTGTAGAAGAACCGTCGGGTGGCAGTGGTGACGCACCTCCCTCACCTCGCAAACGTAGGCCGAGGAAAGACTGATAGGCAATCTCAACCAGTTAGAAGTCCTGCCTTACATTTTCGGTTTAGTTTCTATATTTTATTAATTTGTGTGTTGAAAACCTGAGATTATTTCAAAGATTTAATCGCAAAATCTTAACAAAAGTTTTCTTGTATTTTTTATGTTGTTAAAGTTTCATTTCTTCAGTTATCTATTTATTTTATTTTATTTTTTGGTTGAAAGAAACATTGCAACCAAATTTATTTATTGTTGGTTATTGAGCTTGTTCACCAACAAGACTGTTTGTTCAATGATATTAAGAGTGGACCATAGTAAGAGATTTGTTAATTGTGAAAATGTATGTAACCGTGGTTGGACGTTGGCTTTTGTTACGTTTGCTATCACTTTTCAAAGTCAACACCGTTTAAGCTTTATCGTAAGGTGATCAAAACGTGACGGAGTTATTAACTAGTGAAACAATCGAAAGTATTTTACACATATATTTGGCAAATTCGTAACATGTGTATCGGTGTGTGTTTTTGTAGTTTTACTTTAGTGATACCATTTTTATACGTTTTAAGTTAGGTTAGACAAGAGTTATGTTTGTAACTACATTATCAAAGTAATATATATAAAAAATAATTTATCACATATGATTTATTTATGGCTCTGGAGCCTGTAAAAGCTTTGTTGATTTAAAAGATCACTTGAATGTTTTAAAACTTCTAAAATAAATTTACAGATTAAAATTTCTTTCGTCAAAATAATTGTTAAATCTTTACTTGATACGTTTATCTAACGGTACATCATTTCTGTAACAAAAAGTATTTACTCCTGAATTCTCAAAAGTGACTGAATTTTTAAATTTGATTGATCTAGTCAGGCCTAGGGCAGTTTCTAGGTTAAGTTAGCAATACAAAATATTCACCCTTCCCATCTCCATCAATGACATTCTATTGTAAATAAGTTATCATTTTTCCACCTATTACCAAAGGTAGTGTTAGTCGTAAAATCACTGTGGTTGAATATATTGTAAAGTTCATAAAACTGTTTATGTCAGTTTGGTGATGTTCGGCTAAATTTGATATGCATTGCATCGAAAACGAGATGACCTGCCTTACCGTGTTTTCAGTAGAATTATGTGTTGAAATTTCTGTTTATTTCAGTTTGTAATAAATAAATTTATTATGAAAACTAGTTAGTTTTATTTTGTCTTCCTTTATAGTCTAACTTACTTTTACAGTAGGCCTAGTATCTTTTTCAATGATTGCTAAGTATTAGTTGACTTTGTTTTGACTTTTAAAAACATGTTATTATACTTCAAATTTTCAAGTTTTAGGTTCAAATCCCTAGACGACTCTCTGTCTAGTCTATACTAGCTCAGAGGTCGACATTGGGTACAATAGGTAAATGGCACAGAAACTAGATTTTTTACAATAACTTGTGAAAATCACATGTACAAGTGCTTCGTCTTATTTTCTTAAAAATTGTTATTGTGTTTGCTTAATTATTCTAAATCTAAAACGTTGAGATCAATTGTAATAATAACCAAAGTATACAAATTTATAATTTAATCATGGCCGCCCTATGGAATGGCTATCCTTGAAGTTTTGTACTACTGTAGTTTGACTTGAGTTTTGTCAATTAAGCGTTTATAAGTACAAAGTATACAATTTGATCATGGCCGCCCACTGCCCAGTGGAGTGGCTAACTTTAAAGTTTTTTACTAGTTTGACTTGATTTTTTTCCATGAAGCATAAATTAATACAAATTAAAAATTAATAAAGCATGGCCGTCAAATGGAGTGGCTAACTTTAAAGTTTTATTCTAGTTTGACTTGATTTTTTTCCATGAAGCATATATAAATACAAATTATAAAAATTAATAAAGCATGGCCGTCAAATGGAGTGGCTAACTTTAAAGTTTTTTACTAGTTTGGCTTGAGTATTGTTATTGAATCATATATGAATACAAAGCACTGTATACAAATCTATAATTTAATCATGGCCGCTATAATTTAATCAGTGGCTAACTGTTGAGGTTAAATCTGTGGACCTTATAATAAGACTTGACTTTTCAAACAAACAATACTTTATTTTATAACTTTTAAAACAGAACACATAAATACTTGTATAACTCATAAGCAGAATCAGAATACTTTATTCTTGAACATTGAGTACAGAATAGACGTCAAACATTACAGAGATTTAATAAGCATATTTGTTTTACTCCAACTAGGAAGTTGCTATGCCAACATAACACATTTTATAAACATGAAACAGTATTTAGTTAAACATAGAATAATAAATAATTGAGTTAGGGTATATTTGGATACATGATGAATATATTATATTTTTATATTGCTTCAACACCCTCAATATAAAAATGTATTGTCTTCTTACAAACAGTAGAACGCTCATCTTATCTCTGAATGTCTGGAACTTTGGTTTACACAGACCTTTTGTTAATATATCTGCCAATTGGTTTTCAGAGTTAATACACTTTAAAACAACACTTCCCTTTTTGATAACTTCCCTTAAAAAATGATACTTGACATCAAAGTGTTTAAGTCTTTTGTTTTCTAGACTTCCTGCAACAGCTATTGCTGATTGATTATCTTCATGGATAGTTACAGCTTCACTGGTTGATACATTTAGATCTTCTAGAAGATGTTTGAGACATTGGGATTCTGTTATTGCCATACTAAGCGCAATATAACAGTTTAGCTCAGTGGTTTGACGACAATCTGCTCTCTGTCAATTCCCTTAAAACGCATCTTAATTTCCACATTTCTGATCGTTCTTCCTCATCGCTTAGCTTTTATCTAGATGAGTATCCTGCCCACCCCATTAGTTGCACTAAATTTTTATGAAAGTTTTTTAGACGACAAGTTAAAATTTTACCATTATATTGACTACGTAATAAAAAAAGTTAGTTCAGGAATATTTGCCATCCGCACCCTCGCAAATTCGACAAAATCTGATGTCCTACTTTTCACCTATTATGGCCTTATTTTCTCACATCTTAACTATGCCTTGCCCATATGGGGGTATGAGAATAAGTGGACCTTATTTCTATTCCGTTTGCAGAAGCTGCCCTAATTGCCCATTAGAGCTATATTTTCTTTAAAAAGATGACAAACCTGCAAACCATTTTTTCAAACAGCAAACATCTTAACGTTTCCATCACTTTACATCTACAAAACCTTGTCATTCCTAAAACAAAACATCGACAAGTTCAATAATTCCCATAACCATGCTTACAATTTAAGAACTTCTTATAATCTTCCAGTCCCTGTCCACTGTAAAACCTTTTTTCAAAAGAATCTCCGTTACAATGCAGTAAATCTCTTTAACCACCTTCCAACGCATCTAAAGGCAGAGTCAGACCATCTGAAATTCAAAAGAAAGTTAAAATCTTGTCTATTAAATAAATGCTACTACAGCGTCCGTGACTTCCTGACTGACGGCTAGAATCTTAATTTTCCTTTAGACAGAATTATTTGTAAATAGTTTGTTTAAGTTAATTTTATTATTCTAAGTTAAATTCCAATGCATATTATATTATTTTTTTGAAGAAACTATCTAATTAAACAAAATGAACATTTTTGGAACAGTATTTTATCTAGTAATTTCAACAACTCATCTCAAAACAAAAGGTAAAATAATAACAATAAATAATCAGTTCATCTGGTCTTTTAAATATAAAACATATGGTTAATTAATAACACCACAATTTTGACCTGACCTATACATGTAATTGTGTCTACTTGGTTCAATAAACGAGTTATTGAGTTATATATTCTGCTTCGGTTGAAGATAACGCCACTGAAACTTGCTTCTTTGATGTCCAGCATACAACACAGTCAGATAGTAGAAACAAATAGCCAGATGTAGATTTACGATCAGTTAAATCGCCTGCCCAATCAGCATCCGCAAAACCTTCCAATATAATGTTTCCACTTTTATTCTTATAGGAGGTTAAACTCTTGTCAATTATTGTACCTTTGACGTATCGTAACACTCTTTTTAAAGCAGTCCACAATTCTTCGCTTGCGTTACTTTGGAAGCGACTTAGAAACAAAATCGGATAGCAAAGATCAGGTCTTGTCCCAATCATTGCAAACATCAAACAAAATATTAGTATACAGCACTTGTGTTCCAGTACTTTGTCACACACTGAATTGGTCAAATTTATTTTAAGATTAGGATCCATATTTTTTGTAGCACTTGTTTTAAATAAGCTGTTTGATTCAACTTGGTTACTCCGGTTGTCAAATCATGATCAATTTTTATTCCCAGGTAAGCCGAAACTTGACCCATATCTTTCATTTTAAAATAATGACTCAGTTTTGATTGGAATTTCAAAATCTCATTTTCACAGGAACCCACTATTATTATATCATCCACATACAGTAATACATACAGTTTATTTTCATCAGTCAGTCTTGTGTACAGACAGCAGTCGCTATTTGACCTTAAGAAACCTTCTTTTGTCATTATTTCAGTTAACTTTTCATTCAAATTTTTGGGAGATTTCTTCAAACCGCAGATTGTCTTGTTTAGTTTAAAACAGTAGTTTTACTTTCAATATGTTCAACTCCAGGAGGTACAGATCATCTTTTGTCATGTCACCGTGTAAAAATGCACCTGTCACATCCATTTGGTGTACTGGTAAACTCTGTTGATTAGCTACAGCCATTAATACTCACAATGTTGTCATCTTAGCTACTGGAGCATAGGTTTCAGTTGTATCGAAAGGTCCTTATTGTTGAAATCCACGAGCAACAAGTCTTGCTTTATATTGTACTGGTTGACCTTCATCATTTTTCTTTAACTTAAAACACCCATTTAGCATCTATGGTTGAAATATTTCCAGAATCTTCAACATCAGTCCCCGTATTGTGCTCTTTTAGATTATTAATCTCTTGATTGATTGCTTCTTTCCATTTATCTGCATCTTCACGATTCATTGCACTTTCATATGAATCAGGTTCATCTCCTTCTATGGAAGTCATAAAATTAACTTCATAGTTGTCTAATTTTACAGGTCTTCTTAGTTGGTTCACTAACCTTCAAGTTTTATACCAATTTAACTTGAGTTTTATCAATAAAGAATAGGAATTAATAAAATCATGGCTGCTCAATAGAGTGGCTAACCTGACTGAGTTTTGTCTAAAAAGCATATATTAATTCAAAGTCATATATAAATACAAAGTACACAAATCTATAATTTAATCATGGCCGCTGCCTGGAGTTTTTTACTACCTTGAAAGTTTTTTACTAGTTGACTTGAGTTTTGTCAATGAAGCATAAATAAAAAAAGGTTTTTTTTCCATTTTGCAGTAAGGAAGAGTATCTTGCAATAAAAGATTTACTATACCCTTAACTCTTTCTTAAACAAAAATTAATTTTAACACGAAAATTAATTTTGTTAAACTGAAACAAGAATGACAAAATTAAAAGCAGAAAACTAACATTATTATCTTTAATTTTTTCTAACGATCAAAACATGTAGAGCGTCGATTTTCTAAAACAATGGAGGCAGAGGGGTGTTTGGATGACTGATTTTTCGGACAAATGTTTTAAAATGTCTGTATTTTTTTGTTAAGATTAATGGGATCCCCTGAATATTGGCTTTAAGTGTATAATTTGAGCTACGAGCAACATTTGCGATCATCATAGAAGCTTTGATTTACGTGATAGTCAGAACAGGTTTTGTAGTGATATCGTTAAGATCCTATCGCATATCACCATGATCGTAGATAATTGACAAACATCTCGATTAGTAATTTCTTTAAGAAATACTTAAGCATCAAAATACAAGAATAGAAAATTGTTCTTGCTTTACAATAATTATTTAGGTAGTTTCTCCGGTTTTCTATTATCTTCTCAGGTAGAAAATTTCCATGATTGAGTACACTAATTGATTTACCAGCCAGTTCCAAAGTTATTCAGTTTTTACCTGATAAGTTTTTCATGTGCAGAGGGAGGGAATTTAGAATGTTGCAGCCAATATACGATGGTTTCTCGGATTTGTGTGGTGTGGTAGGTGGGGACTCTAGCCCCTGCCCCCTTGTAAGCTTATCTGCTTCCTCATTTCCCTTAACACGGAGTGATATCTTGTTCTTTCCCAACATGTTCAGACTTTGTTGGCAATCCCATACCATCTTAGAGCTGATAACTGATGAGCTC